CCACTCACCCACCCTCTCTCCTAATTCCTCAGTCTGCCACTGAACTGGATAAATTGAGACTTGCTTTCCTGCAACAAATGCTTGGGAATAAAATGGCTATGCGGGTAGTCCTCGACTTACGACCACAACGGAGCCCAAATTTCTATTGTTCAGCGAAACATTTGTTAAGCGAGTTTTTGCCTGATTTTTACAAACTTTCTTGCTACAGCTGTTGAGCGCAGTTGATAAGTTAGTTATCACCTTTAAAGCGCTCCATGGCTTAGGACCTGGGTACCTACGAGACCGTCTTTTGCCACCAATAGCCTCCCACCGACTAGTTCGTTCTCACAGGGAGGGACTACTCAGGGTACCGTCAGTCAAATTATGTCGACTGGCGACTCCCAGGGGGAGGGCCTTCTCTGTGGGGGCTCCAACCCTTTGGAATGAACTGCCCCCGGAGATACGGAATATCCCTGATCTCCGTGCTTTCCGCCGTGCCCTCAAGACCCTGATGTTCCAACAGGCGGGGCTAAACATATGAACATGTGAATGATTTTTTAAATGTTATCTAATTCTGGGTTTTATTTAATTGACCAAACTAAGTAATAATTTTAATTAGCAATTTTATGATGTTTGTGTCTATATTTTTCTTGACTGTACACCGCCTTGAGTCCTACGGGAGAAAGGCGGTATAGAAATATAATAAATAAATAAATAAATAAATAAGTTAGTAAGCCGGTTGTTAAGTGAATCCGGCTTCCCCGGTGACTTCGCTGGTCAGAAGGTTACAAAAGGGGATCATGTGACACACCCCCAACAGTCGTAAGTATGAACCAGTTGGGCAAACATCTGAATTTGGATCACACGATTGCAGGGATGCTGCAAAGGGTTGTAACTGTGAAAAATGGTCGTAAGTCAAATTTTTCAGCCCCGTTGTAACTCTGAGCGGTCACTAAATGAACTGTTGTTAAGTCGAGGACTACGTGTAGCACTGTTTGTAGTAGGATCATCTCCTAATTTAGGGATGATATTGTCAGTGACTCACAGCAGCAGCACCAAAGGGCAGCAGCAACATAAACATAAAATCATAGGGTTGGATGGGACCTTAGAGGTCTTCTAGTCCAACCCAAAGAAAGGCAAGAAATGCAGTTTGGGGCAAAAATGCTATAGGGCCGTGATAGCGAGCCTATGGCACATGCGAGCGTTGCCCTAGCTCAGCTCCAGCACGCATGCATGCACCGGCCAGCTGATTTTCAGGCCTTTCGGGCCCACCGGAAGTCAGGAAACGGGCTGTTTCTGGCCTCCAGAGGGGTGGGGAAGGCTGTTTTAGCCCTCCACAGGTTCCAAGAAAGCCTCTGGAGCCTGGGGAGGGTGAAAAACAGGCCTACCAGGCCCACTGATAACCTTTTTGTCATTGCGTGCCAAAAACGGGGGGAGTGCGCATGCACGGGGGTGGGGAGGCATTAAATGGTGTGGGCACGCGGGTGCGCAACCACCCCCCCGCTCCCGGCACACAACAGCAAAAAGGTTAGCTATCACTGCTATAGGGTCTCCTGTTTGAGCAGCAAAGACCTCCAACGTCCCTTCTAACTCAGCTATACTGTTAAAAGTAGCCCTTGAGATACATCTGAAGTTACAACGGCATTGAAAAAAGTGACTTATGACCGTTTTTCACACTTACGACCAATGCAGCACATGATCAAAATTCAGACGTTCAGCAACTGACTCGTATGTATGACAGTCACTGCATCCCGGGGTCCCGCAATCCCTTTTTGCCACCCTTCTGACAAAGCCAAAGTCAATTTGGAAGCCAGATTCACTTAACAACTCGTTTTAACTATTTGTTTAAACGACGACATCCGCGATTCACTTAACAAGACGTGGCAAAGAAAGTCGTGAAAATGTTTCTCGCTTAGCAACAGAAACCCTGGGCTCAATTACGGTCGTAAGGCGAGGACTGCCCGTGCCCTTCTGACAAAGCCAAAGTCGATTCGGAAGCCAGATTCACTTAACAACCGTTTAACTACTCATTGAAACGACGACATCCGCGATTCACTTAACAAGATGCAAGGAAAGTCGTGAAAACGGGGCAAAGCTCGCCGAACACGTTTAGCGACAGAAATCCTGGGCTCAATTATGGTCGTAAGGCGAGGACTGCCCGTTCCCTTCAGCAGAGGCATGGCAGATGTGGGCCCAACCTACTTCAGGGCATGGACAACAACAGCTGCATCTTCATTCACAAAAAAAAAAAAAAAAGGACAGCTCTCGCCAACATTTGTGAATGACCGTCTGTACCCTGCTTCCTCTACAAAGCTCCGGGCTGGGATACCGATTTTTTCCCTCTTCCTCCCGCTTCCTGCTCTACATCAGCCGCGGTTCCTGCAGAGGAAGGCAGGTTGCCACTCACCCACCCAACACTTGTCACCCCCCCCAATGCACCTTAAAATCCGGAGAACCTCTTTGCTTGTCGGTTAAGGTGGAACCTGTTTAATTCTGCAAAGGGGGGGTGGGGGGGTCGGCCCGGTTTGGGGTTAGGTTAGAGGGAAGGCAGGTATGAACCCCCATCCCAGGCTGAGCTCCTACAAGCTTCAATAGAGGGAGGGATGAGTGAGACCACGTTTTACATCAAACGGTTTGCTCAATGGAGGGGGAGTGGCACCTTCCTTCTTCCTTCTCCTCCTCCTTCAATTTCTCCTTCTCCTTTTCCATCTCCTTCAATTCTTCCTCCTTCTCCAATTTCTCCTCCTTCAATTAATCCTCCTCCAATTTCTTCTCCTCCTTCAATTCCTCCCCCTCCTCCAATTTTTCCTTCTCCTTCAATTGCTCCTCCTCCTTCAATTGCTCCTTCTTCCCCTTCCCTTCAATTCCTCCTCCTCGTTTCTCCTCCTTCCCTTTCTCCTTCTTCAATTCCTCCTCCTCTTCCAAATTCTCCTTCTCCTTCCTCCTTCTTCCCTGTCTCCTTCTTCAATTCCTCCTCCTCCTCCAATTTCTCCTCCTCCAGTTTCTCCTTCTTCCCTTTCTCCTTCTTCAATTCCTCTTCCTCCAATTTCTCCTCCTCCAATTTCTCCTTCTTCCCTTTCTCCTTTTCCTTCAATTCCTCTTCCTCCTCCAATTTTTCCTCCTCCTCCTCCAGTTTCTCCTTCTTCCCTGTCTCCTTCTTCAATTCCTCCTCCTCCTCCTCCAATTTCTCCTCCTCCTAGTTTCTCCTTCTTCCCTTTCTCCTTCTCCTTCAATTCTTCCGCCTCCAATTTCTTCTCCTCCAGTTTCTTCTCCTTCAATTCCTCCTCCTCCCCAATTTCTCTTCCTCCTCCAGTTTCTCCTTTTTCCCTTTCTCCTTCTTCAATTCCTCCTCCTCCTCCTCCCCTTTCTCCTTCTTCAATTTCTTCTCCTCCTTCTTGCCTTCCTCCTTCTTCAATTCCTCCTCCTCCCCTTATTCCCTTTCCTTCAATTCCTCCTCCAGTTTCTCCTCCTTCCCTTTCTCCTTCTTCAATTCCTCCTTCTCCTCCTTCCCTTTCTCCTCCTCCTCCAATTTCTTCTCCTCCAATTCCTCCTCCTCCTTCCTTTTCTGCTTCTTCAATTCCTCCTCCTCCTCCTTCTTCAATTCCTCCTCCCCTTGTTCTTTTTCCTTCAATTCCTCCTCCAGTTCCTCCTTCTTCCCTTTCTCCTTCTCCAATTCCTCCTCCTCCCCTTGTTCCCTTTCCTTCAATTCCTCCTCCAGTTTCTCCTTTTTCCCTTTCTCCTTCAATTCTTCCTCCTCCTCTTTCCCTTTCTCCTTCTTCAATTCCTCCTCCTCCTCCTTCCCTTTCTCCTTCTCCAATTCCTCCTCCTCCTCCTCCTTTCTCCTTCTTCAATTCCTACTCCTCCCCTTGTTCCTTTTCCTTCAATTCCTCCTTGTTTCTCCTTCTTCCCTTTCTCCTTCTCCAATTCCTCCTTCTCCTCCTTCCCTTTCTCCTCCTCCTCCAATTTCTTCTCCTCCAATTCCTCCTCCTCCTTCCCTTTCTCCTTCTTCAATTCCTCCTCCTCCTCCTTCTTCAATTCCTCCTCCCCTTGTTCCTTTTCCTTCAATTCCTCCTCCAGTTCCTCCTTCTTCCCTTTCTCCTTCTCCAATTCCTCCTCCTCCTCCTTCCCTTTCTGCTTCTTCAATTCCTCCTCCTCCTTCAATTCCTCCTCCTCCCCTTGTTCCCTTTCCTTCAATTCCTCCTCCAGTTTCTCCTTTTTCCCTTTCTCCTTCTTCAATTCCTCCTCCTCCTCTTTCCCTTTCTCCTTCTTCAATTCCTCCTCCTCCTCCTTCCCTTTCTCCTTCTCCAATTCCTCCTCCTCCTCCTCCTCTTTCTCCTTCTTCAATTCCTCCTCCTCCCCTTGTTCCCTTTCCTTCAATTCCTCCTCCAGTTTCTCCTTTTTCCCTTTCTCCTTCTTCAATTCCTCCTCCTCCTCCTTCCCTTTCTCCTTCTCTAACTCCTCCTCCTCCTCCTCTTTCTCCTTCTTCAATTCCTCCTCCTCCCCTTGTTCCCTTTCCTTCAATTCCTCCTCCAGTTTCTCCTTTTTCCCTTTCTCCTTCTTCAATTCCTCCTCCTCCTCCTTCCCTTTCTCCTTCTCCAATTCCTCCTCCTCCTCCTCCTCTTTCTCCTTCTTCAATTCCTCCTCCTCCCCTTGTTCCCTTTCCTTCAATTCCTCCTCCAGTTTCTCCTTTTTCCCTTTCTCCTTCTTCAATTCCTCCTCCTCCTCTTTCCCTTTCTCCTCTTCCAATTCCTCCTCCTCCTTCCCTTTCTCCTTCTCCAATTCCTCCTCCTCCCCTTGTTCCTTTTCCTTCAATTCCTCCTCCAGTTTCTCCTTCTTCCCTTTCTCCTCCTCCAATTCCTCCTCCTCCTCCTTCCCTTTTTCCTTTTCCTTCAATTTCTTCTCCTCCAATTCCTCCTCCTCCTCCTTTCCCTTCCTTCCTGCTCCTCCTCCGCTCGCTTTGCCAGGAGGGGCGCCCCCCTCCCCAAAAAAAGCCGAGGACCCTCCCTCCTTGCCGGGCTTACCGGCGAATTCCTCCTCCTCCTCCTCCTCTTCCTCCTCCTCCTCCTCCTCCTCCTCGGGGCTGCTGTCGGAGGGGCTGTGCTGCTGCTGCAGCGGCTGAGGCGAGAAGTTGACCCCGCGGGCCTCGGCGGGGGCGCCGTCGAGCTGCGGGCGGCTCCCCCGCTCGGGTCCGGCGTTGCAACGGGCGCCTCCTCCTCCTCCTCCGGCCTCGGCCTTGAGGCGCTGGAAGTAGCGGAGGGCGAAGTCGAGCAGGTCGGCCGGTTGGCTCCGCAGCACCTCCAGGGTGAAGCTCTGCAGCAGCTCCCGCAGCCCCTCCGGGATGGAGATGCTCATGCCGGGCGAGCGAGCGGGGCGGGGCGGCCGCCCATGCAACCCGGCGCCCGGCCCCGGAGACCACGCTCGGCAAGGCAAGGCAAGGCCGGCCCGGGGTGCAAAAGGCGGCTTCCCTTCGCGGGGGCTTCCCCGGCGCTTTGCAGCCGGCCGAGGAGAAAAGAGCCGAGCCCGCCCGTGACGGCAGCAAGACGCAGCCCCGCCCACCCCTCCCTCCCTCGACAGGGAGATGAGGGGGGAAAAAATCCCCGCGCGCGAGCGTGAGAGTGAGAGAGAGACCCGGGGAAACCATGGCAACCGAGAGCGCCGCGCGCCCGCCCGCCCGCCCGCCAGACAGACACCCCGCGCGCACGCGCCGGAAGCCCTGCGCTGCTGCTGCTGCTGCTGCTGCTGCTGCTGCTGCTGAGTTTGCAGAGGCCAAAAAATAATAATTAAAAAAAAAAAAAATGGGCAGCGCAGAGGCGGCCCGGGAAGGGAAAACGTGGCCACTAAGCAAGCGGAGGCTATGGTAGGAAAGTGTGGCCCCTAAGCATGTGCAGAGTGCTGTGCTGCTTTGCAGATGGAAAAGGCAGCGCCGTGGCCTCCAAGCATGTGCAGAGTGCTTTGCTGCTTGCAGATGGAAAAGGCAACGGAGAGCCGGCCCCGGAGGGAAAGCGTGGCCTCTAAGCATGTGCAGAGTGCTGTGCTGCTTTGCAGCTGGGAAAGGCAGCGGAGAGCCGGCCCCGGAGGGAAAGCGTGGCCTCTAAGCATGTGCAGAGTGCTTTGCAGAGAGAAAAGGCAGCGGAGAGCTGGGACGGAAGCTCAAGCATGTGCAGAGTGTGTTTGCAGAGGCAAAAAAAAAAAAAAAATGGGCAGCGCAGAGGTGGCCCGGGAGGGAAAGCGTGGCCTCCAAGCATGTGCAGAGTGCTGTGCTGCTTTGCAGCTGGAAAAGGCAGCGGAGAGCCGGCCCCGGAGGGAAAGCGTGGCCTCTAAGCATGTGCAGAGTGCTTTGCTGGTTGCAGCTGCTGCTTTGCAGAGAGAAAAGGCAGCAGAGAGCTGGGAGAAAGCGTTGCCTCCAAGCATGTGCAGAGTGCGTTTGCAGAGGCAAAAAAAAGGGGGGGCAGCACAGAGGCAGCCCGGGAGGGAAAGCGTGGCTTCTAAGCATGTGCAGAGTGCTTTGCTGCTTGCAGCTGGAAAAGGCAGCGGAGAGCCGGCCCCGGAGGGAAAGCGTGGCCTCCAAGCATGTACAGAGTGCTTTGCAGAGAGAAAAGGCAGCGGAGAGTTGGGACGGAAACGTTGCCTCCGAGCATGTGCAGAGTGTGTTTCCAGAGGCAAAAAAAAAAAAAAAAAAGGGCAGCTCAGAGGCGGCCCGGGAGGGAAAGCGTGGCCTCCAAGCATGTGCAGAGTGCTTTGCTGGTTGCAGCTGCTGTTTTGCAAAGAGAAAAGGCAGCGGAGAGCTGGGAGGAAGCGTTGCCTCTGAGTATGTGCAGAGTGCGTTTGCAGAGGCAAAAAAAAAATGGGCAGCGCAGAGGCGGCCCGGGAGGGAAAGTGTGGCCTCCAAGCATGTACAGAGTGCTTTGCTGTTTGCAGTGGAAAAGGCAGTGGAGAGCCGGCCGGGAGGGAAAGCGTGGCCTCTAAACATGTGCAGAGTGCTTTGCTGCTTGCAGATGCTACTTTGCAGATGGAAAAGGCAGCGGAGAACCAGCAAATACCACCTCTGGCTGGCCCCAGAGCGGGGTGGGAATGGAGATTTTGCAATCTCCTTCCCCCAGGAGTGGGGAGAGAATGGGGATTTTGCAGTATCCTTCCCCTGCCACACCACCACAGAACTGGTAGTAAAAAAAATTTGGATTTCACCACTGAACCGTGTACCCTGTTTAGCAACCATTCTAAGTTATGACAGCCTGGAAAAGGAATTTTAACGACTAGTCCTCAAACTTATAACCATAGCAATTAACCATGGTCAAGTCATTTTAATTTGTGTGCTTCGCAGCCAGGTTCCAACAAATAGAGTTAATGGAAACGCCGGCAGTAAATTACGTAAGTTAACAGTCACATGGTGTCTCGTTTAACAACCGTGGGGTTTGTTCGCTTAAGGGGCCACATCACTTAGGAGTTGCCGATCTAAATTGGGGTACATTAAGCGAGACAGTCACATGTCTGAGATGGCATAGGTTTTCCTGCTTAAGCAGGGGGCTGGA